GTCTCTCTAAGAACATGGAAGCAAGACTAGCTGGGCCCCCAAATTAACACACCTAGCCCGAGATCCAGAAACCTGCCTCAGCCTTCATAGATATCCCCTATATTCATCCCTTGTGGCTCGCCCAGGAACTGAAACTTTGTCCACGAACCAGGACCATCTCGGGTGGGAGGGTAAGATGCTTTGAGCGGGCTGTTCAAGCAGAAACCTCACGCCACGCTGGGCTGCAACCAAGAGTAGCAGCAACGATCTCACCAGGAGCAAGTTCCCAGTACGAACAAACTGATACCCCTGGTTGCCGAGGGGATGGATGACACTTCTGCCCGCTGTGTTGCGACTCCTGAGCCCAAGCAGGAAACACCTAAAGCCTAAAGCTCAAAACGGCCAGCAAACGAACTGCTGCGAAAGGACTCTACGTAGCTATTTCTAGCTAGGGCGCATGATCGAGAAGCTTTCGCAACACATAGCAATAAGCAGCACCCCTCCAGGTCGTATACGAAGCACAGCATTCAATGCCAAAATGAAACCTGTTTCAGTGGTGAGGTCGAAGAGCATGGGGTTAAGCAGGATGTCGATGGGAGCACCCCGTAAGCCTTCCTGCATTCGGATTGCTGAGAGCTGCAGCAACAAGTTAAGCCTATATATGGCCCCGTCCTCCCGGAGCTTTGCACTTACCTCCCCGGCTCCAGCGAAGATCTCCACGTAGTCGTAGTCCTGTGAAGTTCATGGGCTGGAGAAACTTGTGTTTGTCTAGCATCTAAATTGTGCAATCGTTTGTTTGCAATCAAGTTAGAACCGTCCTGTTTGTGGGTCAAGCGATCGTTAAATCTTGTCAGTAGGACCAGAAGAATGAGGGCAATCGGAGCATCCCATTGTAGAAGTTCAGCTACCACCATGATCCAGATCGGAAGCGCTTCCGAAAAACCAGCAACTAGCTTGGACAAAAAATGATGATCATCACAGCAAGACTTCTAACAATCTGGTGCAGCGCAACTCAGCGAACCCGGTAGCTTTCTCCAGGCATCGTAGATCTATCATGCAATCTTGCACCATGCTCATGCACTGGAAGCCGACTGTGGCAGGCCCACAGCTAGCTTGCTGTACTCAGCCAGACATCGGACTTGAAGCCCTGCCCGACCCTCCAAGTAAAACATTCGGAGAATTCATCAAATGCATCCCAGCGAGGCGGGCTTACTCAGCACATCGATAGCAGCACGGCTTGGGCTTCAGGATCCCATCGGGTCTAGGGCTAGGGGTTTTTAAAGACCTAAGGCCAGCAAGCTTCTATAGGTATAGAAACTAGAGTGGGCTCCCACCTTGACTTGGAATTAAAATCAATCAAACGTTGAACCTTCTCTTGCTCAGCTCAGACTTTGACATCCCCTGCAGGAAAGATGCACGCTCTGCCGATGGCAGCCAGAGCTTGCAGGCTTCCTTCCACGACAGACTCTGCTCATGCATCTGGCGCCGAATGAAGTCCAGCCGGGCATCCCTGAACTTACCGGGCGCATAGGAAGCTGGCTTGACCTCATCTGCACCTGCAGTCCTCTTGGGCTTAGATGTCGGGGCACTAGCTGCGTCGGGCCTCTTAGGCTTGGTCAATTCATTCTTCTTCGCATTCATGACAGCCTGCCGGACTCTCCGGAACTTATTTGCCTTCCTGCGCCTTTTGCGTGATTTGGGCACATTCTTGTCAGCATCATCATCCACAGGCATATCGTCATCGACAGTGTTGGCGTTCTTGTACCTTGTTGCCAAAGCCCGGAAGCTAAGACAAAAACCGCAGTGCATTGATAAGTCCAATTCCCCGGAGATATAGTTATAAGAGCCAAGGGGCTGCAAGGAGGGACGGAAAGGCGCAGGCTCAGGAATAGAAGCCAAGGAAGACAGAACCTGAAGTACATCAGCACAATATATGTGCTGTAGACATAGGCCCTCAGAGACATGCTGACAACCAAACAAGCACCATCCTTGTAATTCCATGTGGTTCAGCAAAGGCTCTGCAGGCGGAAGCGTGTACTTGTTGTTCGGCTGCTTGCTCTGCTTCACATCCGAAACAATGCTCCTTGTCATTGGGGAGCACACTCCAACATATACAGAAACTCAAATCACCAAGCAGCCCCCTTTATAAGCCGAAGAGCTTTAGTCGAGACATGATGATTGCATGATCCTTGGGAGGCGTCTCCAAGTTCTCGGACTTCAGCTTGCGAGCCTCAGTCTGCATATAGGGTTTAAAGCCTCAACAAAGCAACCAGCCTGCATTACCTACATAGCCTTGTCACAGGTTAAGTCTCATTGCTGCTTAGTAACAGGGGTCTGGAGTTCAAAGCAGCTCAACGTGCACAGGCTAGACACCTCATCCCTAGCTGACATCGATTCCTTCAAATCGGAATCTCCATCCTCGGAATCTCCATCCTGCTCTGAAGACTCAGAGCAGTCACTTTGGCAGCTGGCGTCATCGTCCTTATTGAAACCCCTTGCCCAAAACAAACAGAATCAGAGGATTCCAGAGCGAACACGAAAGGACCCTAAATGCATAAGAAGCTCACTCTCATTCTTCGTCTTCTTCTTGGCACCCCCTTTCCTTTTGGGTGGGAGATACATATGGAGTTCCTGCTTCAGTTCGGTGATAGCCTTCTCATGCGACTTAATCGTCCTGCGGCAGAGGCTCTTGAACTTGGTAGCCTCAGGATTTCCATGCGAGCCCTCGAAATGTAGCAGATCCCAAGCCCCCTGACATCATAAGAAATTGAGAACAAGGCCAACTTTCTCAAAGCAGTCCCAGTTCTCAAGGCCCAATCTCGAACAGCACTGCAGTTAACTGATATCCCACGAGGCATCTGACCAGGTGTCGTACTGTACCAGTGAAGGATCCCATGCGAAATCACATGCGCTGAGAACCTCTTTCTCCGAGGCGATGCCTTGATGGTTGCTGCAATCGCCTGGGCTGGAGCAGCAGCAGCATCAGCGGACACTAGCAAAGAATTTATGCCTGCCCTAGCTCATGCCCAGAACTATTATAAGCGATGTTGCCCGACCATTCACCGCAAGATCCTTCTTGCACACGGCATTCTTGTGGAATAGCAATTTTCCAGAACGATCCAGCAGAAGATTGAAGCCAAGCTCAGCGGTGAGGGCTTATGGGCTGCTGCAGTAATACACATGTCACTTGCAAAAGCTGTCAGCCATGTGCACTGGTGACTACTAGTGCTGATCAAGAATCACCCTGCAAAGAAGCCTCTTCCCGGAACGATTGGGATATTCGAACAGCTTCGTCACTCCAGACTATTGGCTGTTCTTCGAACTCACCAGGTAGTTCCGACATGGGATCAACGTAGAACACAGAGGCCGAAGGCAGTGGTTCTGCAACTAATGTTCCCTTGCAAAGCCTGCACACTGCAAGCCGTGTCTGAAATTTTGCTAAGATCTTTAAAAACCAATAGCAATAGGACTGTCTATGTAGACATAAAGCCTTAATGAGCCTATCCACCCATGGATCTGAATCTGACAAAATCTCCGACACACACTAAGCCTGTCAGCAAGCCAAATGCTCGAAACACACCATGCTCGATCACACAAACAGACACACAGCAAGATGCAGCCAGAACTGCATGCGCTTGGGTGCAAAGCAGAGCAAAGCGGGAATGGCACCTGCATCACTGTTGGCAAAGATGTCCTTGATTAAGCGTCCACGTTTGACCTGGGGCATAGGTCTTGCACTTGATTTCCCTGTTGTTGAGGGAGGAGAAGCTTAGCAACAGACCATGATGGACCATGGCTTCTTCCCAATTTGGGCACCTGCCGACATGTCCCCATCAACCAGCCTAGAAAAGCACCGTACTTGCATCATCGCAAAAAGCCGGGCCCCAGCCTCTCCATCATCAGCTGACCGATGATGCAGCCATCGACAAAAGCCCAAACTCGAAAGCTGGCACCTACGACCCTAAACCTGACACAAGGCCCTTGGTGACGGCTTGTTTTGGTATTCGGGTTTAGGTGTTTAAGGATTCACGGGCTGAGTCCTGGGTGGGTGGTTATTGGGGGTTGTTTCAGACCCGTTGCGCTTTGACTTGGGGCAACCGGTGCCCAAAACCTCTAAACCCTATAAGCCTGAAAGCTTAATTGACCCCTCACATACAGACCCTGAAACATCGCAAATCGGTAAGCCTAAAGCCCCTCTTTAAATTCTGCAGCCCTGCAGCCTCAAGTGTTGAACCAAGGACCTGGACCCAGAAGACCTCGTGGAGCAACTCTGATGAAGGTGTACACAACCATAAAACCCTATTATCGGGGGGATTCTTGGCCTATAGCTCTCGATTTGAGGATGCGGGTTTTGATTTTAGGGTTTAAAAGCCCTTCGCTATACCCTGGTCAAAAGCCTAGAGTATGAGAGTGAACTGTGTCTATACACTGTCACTTGAAGGGGCCATGATCGCTCAAAGTTGTCATTGTGAACCACAACGTATCACCGGAAACATTGTAAATTATCGAAGATCGTTTGCAATGGGGCGATCGGAGCTTGAAAGCACCTTAGCACCGGCAGCCCAACCCTATAAACCCGAAATCCCAGTCTAATGCCTTTAAACCATGAACCGCGCAGTCACAGGCTGTTGTGCTCTGGGCTTTTAGGTTTTGTTTGGCTTTATTTATAGGGTTTAATTTTAGGTTTAGGGTTGCGGGTCTCAGGCTAAGACTTCTGGTTCCTTGTCAGCATCATCAGCATCATATCACCGTCATCATCATCATCATCACCGCCCATCATCATCACCACCATTGCGAGCATCATCGGGAATGTCACCATCATCATGAACATCTTCCTCTACATCTTCTTGCCCCTCCCCCTCATGATGGTCATCATCATCACCACCATCATATCATCTCCAGTGTCAACATCATCATTGTTACAGGTAAGAGGATGGGGTGAAGGTTTCGTTAGGCAGCAACTGCATATATTACCCTATGTATTGCCCTGTTTACTAAGCCACCGGATTCTTGAAGTACACCTGAGCTCCAACATCTGCCCTGGCTAGAACTGTATGGACCACTGTTGAAGGACCCCAAACCATAAGTAGCAGCCATTCTGTCCGAAGTGTAATTTAAGCCGACACAAATGTTGCGTAGAGTATACAAGCCAACCTCAAGCTTTAACAAGCTTACGATAGGCTAAGGCTTAAAGAGCCGACCCCCCATCTTAAGCCGAAGCTCCAACACCTTCGAAAAAAAAAACCAATCCAAGGACTGCCAGATCACAGTGGTGGTGGTGGTGGTAGTGGTGTTTTTTTTTGGTGGTGCTGGCAGTGGTGGTGGTGGTTCTGGTGGTGGTGATGATGCTTGGTGGTGTTGGCGCTGACAGTGGTCTGTTGATGATTGTGCATGTGTGTGTGTGTGTGTGCGTGTGTGTGTGTGTTGATGACTTTGGGTTTTAAGGCTCAGGTTTTTAGGGTTCAGGTTCCAGGGTTTAGGGTCAATTGTCAAGACTTCGGCGGGCTCAGGATTTAAGCCTCATGTTCCTTAGGGTGTTTAACAGGATCTTAAGGATGTATTTTCTCGGATTTAGGGTTCAGGATTCGAAAACAGGGTTCCATTATGTAGGTGCTTAGCCAAGCCATACCTATGCACCAGTCCATTGACATTTGTGGATCTACCAATGTTGATCTATTTGTAAGAATTAATTGCATTTGTATATATAAATATATACCTACCTACCTACCTACATACACACATTCATACAGTTGCATACATACATACATACATACATACATACATACATACATACATACATACATACATACATACGGATGGGCCTTCCTCGTTTGATCAATCGCACTGCTCGCGAACCAGAGCTGTCGCTTGACTCTCCA